TGAACCTGTACTGGAGTCGTTCCTTTTAGTACCTCACTTCCCCACTTCCTGACACATGGTTCTTAGATTTACTTGAACTTGTTGCTGATAGTTGCTGTCAACTTTCTGACCAATGATGAACCAGTGCACAATGGAACACAATGCTGCCTGGTCTTTACTATCCCCTATGATCAGTTGTGGATGGGAATGTCATGATCCATAGGGTTTATACTGAATTGTTTTCTACAGTAAACCACCAAACATTTCTGTCTAGTCTGTCTTATTCTACAAGCTCCATGGAAACCTGTTCAGTATCACAGCAGGACACAAGCCACCATTAACAGACGGGTGGTAGCTATGCTTGAGGTGCGTTGGTTGAGAAGATGGTAAGAATTTTACCACTGAAACACTAATGCTTCTATCCTAGTTGTCCTCAAATCATTGTCTCCAGGTTTGCCTCTAGATTAGGTTCTCTAGAGAAGCAAAAACAGTGATGTTTATGTTTTTATTTATAGAAAGGGAGTTATATCAAGAAATGGCTTACACAGTTGTAGAAATAGTGCAGTCTGGTTCAGGTCAGGTTTCCCCTGACTCATGGAAGCTGATGAACAGGAATCAGGATGATGAAGCAGAGACAGTTGGAGCAGGGCATGGGCTGGTGGATACAGAGGTTCGAAGTCAGCCAAATGAATCCACCATTGGTAGTCTGCTGACAGCTCCTGGGACTGGCCAGCTGATGCAATGGGAGATGAAGGAACCAGATGAACAATCCAACTCCAGCAGAAGGTGAAGGGCCAAAGACAATTCAACTCCTCTCTCTCTCTCTCTCTCTCTCTCTCTCTCTCTCTCTCTCTCTCTCTCTCTCATACACATACTACACACACAAACATATGACACCAAGAAGATGTCATCTGACTTTGATCCAATTGATAGACTGTAGACTGGGCTCTGCCCCTCCCCTTACCCAGTACTGTCTAGGGATTCCTAATCATCACAGCCTCTAAAGATATAAAGCAAGAGCCTTTGAGAAATTCCCCCATTGGCTCCTTTTCCAAGAGTATGGGTGAGTGCCCTCATGCTGCTCCTTGCTTGCTCAACATACCCTCAATGTCCCCATTTCTACCCTTTTCATGAAAAGCCCATCATGGAGGGTTCTGATTTTAGCTTTTCAACATGAGTTTATGATCAAATGGATGATGATTCTTAAATTTCCATGTTTATCAGCATCACCTAGGATGAGGATTAAATTAAATACATCCAGACCCCACCCAGACCTTATGAACTGGACTCTGGAGATAAATCCAGGTGCTTCAGAAACACCTCCTTAGAACTCCTGTAATCTGGACTTCAAGGGAATGTAGACTATGTTCCTTAGTGTTCTCTCTGCCTTGTGGCCTCTGTGGATTTAAGTGATGAAGCTTGGGATAGCTATGCCTCCCTATTCCTGGAATAAAGTCTGGATAAAAACAAGTCTAGTTGTTACCCTCAGAGCACAGCAGCCCAAGCCACCTGGGTGACCTTTCACAATACACAGTAAAGAGTCTTCTTACTGCCAAATCTCTCTCAATGCCTGCACCCTATTCTCATCTCCTTTTGCTGAAACACTGGGATGACTGCACGTACACAATTAGGTCAGGAAACATAGGCTAGAAACAACACACACACACACACACACACACACACACGTCTCTTTCCCAGCCATGGTTGCTGTGTGATTTCAATTTACAGCACTGATCAATGGTAAGGACAATTGAAGAGGAAGGGAAGGAAGCAAGTGCTATTAGTTTACCCACAGCTTCTTGTCATTTTTGCACCTCCAACACAAATGCCCAAACTCCAAGTGCAAAACCTCAGATTTCACCTCCAACATATTTCTGACCAAAGCAGTGGCTTAGGTCAATACTTCTCTTCACTGATGCCTCTCCAAATCCCCCACCCTCTTGTAGCAGGAAATGAAATCAAGGAAGGCTTTGTGGAAGAGAATTTGATTTCCACAAGCAAGGGTGGATGAAGGGGCCTGGCAATACAGAGCAAAGAAGGCAGAAAGTAACTAACACCAAATAAGCACCAGACACTTGGTTAAGAACTACAAATTATTCAATTTATTCCTTTCTGACATTCTATGAGGTAGGTACTAATGACCACACCATTTTACAGACAAGGAAACAGAGAGTTTAAGTCAATTGCCCAGATTTTACAAGGTCTATGGAGGAAATGTTAAAAGTACAATATGGCACTTAGAATAATGTTGTAGTGTCAACCAACTCAGGGACAAGGGAACAACAAGTGATCTGAAATTGATGGCTAGGAGGGTATAGGATGCCTGGTGGGGTGTGCAAAAGGGCAATATAGCTGAGAGGAATTACTGAAACCCTAATGAAGGCAGAACTTGATAGTGGGACAAGAGGACAGTAAAAGGAAATAGAGGAAAGAACTAGGAGGCAAAGGACATTCATAGAGATCTAAATACAGGCATGTACATATGTCAATGTATTTATATGTAAGGATATGGAAATAGATCTATGTACATATGTTAAATATTAAGGTAGCAGATGGGTTTTGGGCCTCTATTCAAATACTCCCTCAATGCAAGAACACTTTGTTCTAATAACTTGGCATTCCGTGATGCTCACCTTCCCAACATGATTCCTGAAGACAAAATGGGTACATAAGAAACTGTAGTGAAGAAAGCTAATGGTGCCCACTTATCAAAAGATATAATGTCCAGAGGCCTTAAAGGCTTGAAGATAAACAAGCGGCCATCTAGCTGAGAAGCAACAAAGTCCACTTGGAAAAAGCACACCAGCCTGTGTGATCATGAGGTGTTGATGGAATCAGGTATCAGGCATCAAAGACCCAAAAACTATATGGTTTCTTATAGTAGTGTCCTGTAATTTTCTTTGTAAAAGTTTTTTGTTTCTCTCATTAGGTTTCTTTTTAAGTACTGCATCTTTTATGTGGCTATTATAAAGGGTATTGTTTTCTTTATCACTTTTTCAGGGCTCTCTTCATTAATATACAGGAATCCTACTGATCTTGGTTCAAGTAGAATTGAACCCCTGAAGAGTTCAATCTCAGAAACCCACAGGGGAAGTTCTACCTTGTCCTAAATGGTTGTTATGAGTCAGGAGGCACTAAATGGCACTGAGTTTGGTTTTTGGAATCCTGAATCCTGCCATGTAGCGAAATCTTTCCATTGTTTCCAACTTTTTTTTTTTTTTTTTGGTCAAGTCTTTGGGGATTTCTACATATAAAATCATATCATCTACAAACAGTGAGAGATTACCCTTCTATCCCTCTTTTGTGGAGTGTCAGGAACGAGTGTTGGGTATCATCAAATGCCTTTTCTGTGTCAATTGATATGATTGTGTGGTTCTTTATTTTGGGGGTTTTTTATATGGTGGAATATATTCTTTTTCTAATGTTGACCCTGATTTTCATACCTAGTATAAATTCCACTCAATCATTAGATATATATAACATGTATAATAATACAATATATAGAGAGAGGGAGTTGGATTCTATTGGCCTAGGTTTTGTTGAGAATTTTTGCATCTGTATTCATAAGGGATATTGGTCTGTTATTTTATATCTCTGTGGAGTCTGGTTCCGGTTTCAGTATCATGGTTACTCACTTCATAAAATGAGTTTACTGACCTTTTCTATATTCTGTAATAGTATGTGTAGAAATGATCACAGATCTTCTCTGAATACTTGATAGAATTCCATAATGAAGCCATTTGGTCTTGGCCTTTTTTCCACTGGAAGTCTTTGAATGACCTGGCTTATTTTGGGATAGGTCTGTTGAGGTCTTCCATATCAGTCTTTTAATTTGGATATATGGTGTGTTTCTAGAAATGTGTCCATTTCATCTAGGTCTTCAAACTTCTTGGAGTACAATCATTCGTAGTAATATATTGTTATTCTTGTTTCATTTGTGATATCACCCTTTTAATTTCAAATCACATCTTCTCTTTCTATATTTTTGTTAAGTTTCCCAGTGTTTTGTCGATTTTGTTAATCTTTTTAAAGAACCAACTTTTTGCCTTGTTGATTTTCTCTCTTGTTTTACTGTTTTTCAATTCCTTTTTTCCTCCTCTAAGTTTTATGATTTTTTTCTCTCTTGGTGGTTATATTTTGCTGCTCTTATTCTAGTTATTGAAGATGTTGGTTTTGTTGAAAATGATTATTTTTGCTTTCTCTTTTTCATGTGTGTGTTGATTGCTATAAATTGCCCTCTGATAATAGATTTTGCTGTGTCATAAAGGTTTTGGTATGTTGTGTTTTCTTTCTCATTTGTTTTAAGGAATGTTAAAATCTCGTCCTTTACTTCATCTATTACTCATTCATTTTTACGTAGTATATTATTCAGTTTTAATGCATTTGATTTCTTGTCCTTGTCCTTTGTATTGTTAATTTTTAGTTTTAGAGCATTCTGGTCTAAGAAAATGGAGGGTAGAATCTCGATATTTTTAACTGTATTAAAGTTGAATTTATGACCTAACATATAGTCTATTCTAGAGAATATTCCAAATGCACTGGAAAGGAATGGATGCTGTGTTGCTGTTGGGTGAAGGGTTGTTTAGTTCTTCCATGTTTTTACTGAGTTTCTTTTCAGATGAACTTTCTTTCAAAGTGGTACATTAAAGTCACCAACTATTATTGCTATATTGCCAATTTCTCTTTTCAAATCTGTAAAAGCTTGATTAATGTATCTACAAGGTCTTTCATTGGGTGCATATGTTTATTATAGTTCTGTGTTCTTTGTCTGTTCTTCCTTGAGCCGTTATGTAATGTCCTTTTTTCTCTCTCATGATGTTTTTTGTCTTGAAGTCTATTTTATCAGAGATTAACGTTGCTCCTTTTCAAATTTTGATAAATCATTTTATTGGGTTTCTTACAGCTCTTATAACAATCCATACATCCATTGTGTCAAGCACATTTGTACATGTTACATCATCCCCTCTTGCTTTTTTGTTACCATTACTTTGATACAATTTTCTCCATCCTTTGAGTTTTAGACTATTTTATCATTTTGTCTCAGGTATGTTTCCTGTAGGCAGCATATTAATGGGCCTTCTTTTCTTATCCAGTCTGCTACTCCCTGCCTTTTGATTGATGCACTTAATCGATCTACATTTAGTGTCATTATAGGTGGATACGGGCTTTTTGCTGTCGTTTTACTTTATCTGTGTGTGTGTTCATTGGTTTCTTTGTTCTTCCTCAATTTCTGTGCTGTTTTGAGTTTTTTTTTTAGTTTGTTGATTTCTGGGTGGCGTTGTGTTGTATGTTGCTCTCCAGTTTCAGCTGCTGTTTGATTTCCTGTCCAATGTGTTCCCTATAGTATTTTTTGTATTACTGGTCTTGTTGTCACAAACTAATTTAATGTCTCCTTGTGTGGAAATAACTTTTATTCCTCCCTCATATTTGATGGATATAAGAAAGATTGTTAATTGGCAATTGTTTATTTCAGTGTATATATAATCACTCTATTGTCTTCTTGCCTGCATTGTTTCTGCTTAGAAATCCAAGTTTATTCTTATTGGTTTTCCTTTGTAGGTAATTGTTGTTTTTTTCCTAGCTGCTTTTCTTTTCTCCAATATTGGAGAGTTTGACTATAATATGTAGGAATTTTTTTTTCTTTTGGGGTCTATCCTGCTTGGGGTTCTCAGCTTCTTGAATAGTTATTTTCTCCTCTTTTATAATATTAGGGAAGGTTTGTTTGTTACATTAGTTCTTGTACTATTTCCTCTATAGATGTTTTTGTTTCTTCCTTCTCTGGAATCCAAATGAGACATAAAGTGTTTCTCTTGATAATGTCACACAGAAATTTTAGGCTTTCTTCAGATTACTTTCCTCTCTGTTGATTCTTCCTCTCGTCAATTGTAGTCAAGGGAAATGTCTTCAAGCTCGTGAATTCAGCTCTCCGTTTCTTCTATTCTATTATTCTGCTCTTTTACCATGTTGTCTAATTCTGTTATCTGTATTATTTATCTTATGGGATTCTATTTGATGTTTCTAGTTTTTCTATTCATTTGGTCATTTTCTAGAACATTTCCTCCATCCATTGAAATTATCTGAGCATAATTCTACTGAATTTTATTCCAGGTAATTTCAAGGACTTTTCTTTGGATCTTTGGTTCTGATTGTTGCCCAGTTGTTTGGTGTGTGTGTGTGTGTGTGTGTGTGTTGCAATTGAATTGTTTCCACCACATCATGGTGCAACTGTTAGCGTTAGTAAGGGTGCTGGTTCATTTGGGATTAGTTGGCTTTGTCTTGTTGGGGAACAGGGATGGCCAGGGTCTCCTGTACTGGAGCATGAGGATGACTAGGGACTGCCTTGCTAGGGCATGAGGACCTCTTGATGTCTTTCTCCTGATTGTTGAAGAGGGCTTCACTTACCAAGTGTGCTCTCTTCAACCAGAAGCAGATTTTTATTTTCTTGTATATGATTTCATAGATATTATTGCTGTGTTCATGGGTAAATTTAAGTAAAGAGGTGAGTAGATATAAAGAAAATTAGTAAATAAATAATAGTATTGGGAAGAAGATGCAAATCATCTAGGAGGTTTGGGAAATATTAGAATTTTAGAAATGGTATTTGAGGGTTAATACAATGTGGTGCTCCCACCAAGACTAACAAGCAGTTAAATGGTCTTTTATCCCCTAAGAGAAAGAATAATCTGTTACTCCTTAGACTTATAGCCATTAATTTCTCTTCCTTGTCCATCCTCTTTGCCTTTCCTATTATTAACATTACATCTCCCACATACTCCATTCAGGCATGGCAAATGTAATATTAAAGTCTGGCAAGTGAGAGTTCCCAAAGACAAGTTTGCTGCTTAAATTCTTGTCCTCTGATCCTCACATACTAGCATTTGATTTGATACCTTATTCAATTGCCTCCTCTCTGCACAAGCTTCCCTATAGACAGCATAAATGTTGATGATATTTCTCAGTGAGACTCCCATTTTTCTTCTGTATGAAAAGCTTCAGGCTTGCTTTCTCCATCTACACCACCCCCACCACTACTGATCTCACTTTGGTACAGGTGATTGGCTCTTCTCTGCCTCACTAATCTTGGGCATTAATACACATTCAATGACTGCAATATGAATCCTACTCACTCAGTTATGGGAAGGCCTATGTGTTGCAGATTGAGATTATTAGAAAATAATACTACAAGAATTAAGTCCTGTATTTACAATGGTTAAAACAATTTAATAGTTTGGGGTTTTCATTCAAGAATACCTTTTATCCTATGGAAAATTTCTTCTGAGAGTTATGGCATATTCTGAGACTTATTTATACAGCAGGTAACTCATTTAATTCCCAAAACAGCTGAAGATAGATAGGTGGCCATAATATAATCAAGTTCACTGCCATCAAACCTAATCTGACTAAAAGGCCCTAGAGGACGCGGGAGAACCCCATAGAGTTTCCCAGACTATAAATCTTTACAGAAGAAGGCTGCCATATATTTCTCCCAAAGACCACCTGTTGGATTCAAATTACTACTTCTGCTAAGCAGTGGAGCATTTTAAGTATGCACTATTATTTTATTTGACCAAGGAGGCAGGAAAAGGAACAAGGGCTGGGGAGTGGGGGGTGGGGGTGGGAAGAGTCCTCTCTTTAAGCACAAAGTAAGTGGCCTAATAGCTTGTTCTGAAGGAGAAAAGATTCATATAATACATGAAGTGAAACTGGTGAATTAAAACCAGAAATCCCCCCTCTGCTTCTCTACGCAGCTCCCCAGACATTCACTAGGTCCCTAAATTAAAAAGAAACAAATTAATGAGAATGTCAAAGTATGTTCTGTACTCAAAGCAAGATCAATCTTTATACATAGATCCTTTTTTGGCACTGATGTAGAAAATCCAAACATGGAGATACTTAGGTCTGCAAATAACCTACTTTTCATACCAGATGGATCTAAAACACACACACACACACTTTTTTTTAAGGGTGAGCATAGCAAACAGATGTTTTGCTTCCCGAAAGGTAAGTGGGCCTCACTCAAGTAGTCTTGTGAAGCAATTTAATTTCAAATTTCCAAAATTATAAAACTATATAGATTAAACATCAAATTGACTCAAAAGAGGCCTCTTACCTAGAAAACCAAATGAACATGTTATGAATTATTTTGAACTACTCCATGATACACAAACCCAATTTCATGGATAAGAAGATGCAGGGATGGGATCAGTAAGGACAATTAACTCCAAGAGCCTTGTCCAAATAGTTAGACCAGGAATCACTGACTCTTTTGACAAAAAATTTTGATGTACAAGGCTCAGTATGTAGCATGTAAAATTTTTCCTCATGCAAATGAGACCCTGTTGTTTAAGCATTGATGAATGAGAACTGTGACATTTTTCTTTCAGATTCTATTTGTGAGTATAAAAATAAATTTCTATAAAACAATGAATTTTATCTACATTTCACACACTCTCCCTTATTACATTACTCATATCTGCCATTGTATCAAGCCATCCATCGTCTTCAGCAAATCTTACAATGGCACAATGAATACAGAGCATGGATATGAGGATTCAGTATTTCCTTCTTAAATTTCACAGTAGACTGTAAAAGCAGCTTTTATACGTAAGGTTCTGAAACTAATTCTGAAAAAACTATTATAATCACTGTAAAAGCCAAGTTGAATATTCTATTGGTTACAAGAGTCATTAAATAACTGAGGGTACAATTTATTCCTTGTTCATCTATAACAGATGGAAAGAATAATGATTTGGGACTAGCTGAACAAGAACTGCTTCCGTTAACTAGTTCTTTTGTGCACCATATTAAGCACAGTTCTCCCATCCCACCCCTACTCCCACAATCCCAGTGGCAAAAATTCAAACACAGAGAAGTACCAAGGGCAAAACAAGACATGTATTGCAGAATAGCGCCACTTAGGCACGTCATCGGTCTGTCATAAGACCTCAAACGCCCTGTCATCGAGTCAATTCTGACTCATAGGAAAACCATAGGGTTCCCAAAGCTGTAAATCTTTAACATAAGCAGACATTTCTAAGCACCAACTTTAGAGTTAGTAATCCAGTGTTTAACCAGTACACAACCAGGGAACCTAATAATTGCTCCACATAAGAAAAATCTCAAGATAACTGATTTTATACAAATGTGCTTGACACAATTGATGTATGGTTTGTTATAAGAGCTGTAAGAGCCCCAAATAAAATGATTTATTAAAAATAAAAAGGTATTGGGACTTGAACCGTTTCTTAAGGAAACTGTCGCCAAAATGTATTTTACATAGCTCTAGGTTTTTCAGCAGAAATCCCTGAACACAATAAACTATTGCCTGGTGACTCAGGCATTCATGATGAACAGCCATGATTATATTGTGCAATAGTGCAATGCTGCTTGCCCTTTTTTCTGTTCCCTCCTTCTCCTTCAAGTCAGTCTGTCACTTCTGATGCAAACGTACTTCTTGCTAATATCACCCCTCCCTCACATACACCCCTTCTGGTTTGCAGCTTTTAATTTACTACGAACTGGGAAACCAAGATTGGTAAGAACTGTAAGTTAAATAAGAGTTAAGAAAACACCGAAAGAGAGGATGAGGAATTAAGTATGGGCTTCACGGCAGCAGCTTTGTGACACTTACATGTTCCTATCTTTAGATAACTTTCCCATTCCTTCCAGTTAAGGATAAGTTTTGAAAGGAAGGTGTTTGAGAGCACTACCTTCAAATAAGTGAATTTGTTTGTTCTGAACAGACCATCTGAGGAGAGATGAAATCCGGTATTTTTTCTTAAAAGAAAGTCTTGGTTTCTAACACCATCCTTCCCACATTTATACATCACACATATAATCATACCCCAAACACTTTACTACTCTTGATACTGTTTGAAGCAGGCATCCCTGCTGAGATAGGAAAAGTCAGGCTCATGTCCCCAGAGCTCAGATAAGGAAGTGGAGGCCCAGGAAAGTGGAATGATTTGCCCACAAATCAAACAGCCCTTAGATGACAAGGCCACCCCCTCCTGCATTCTCATTCAAGGCTCTTCTAACAACACT